GCATTATGGGGCTATTCTATCAGATAGTGAAGACTCCTTCTACAGATAAAATGTTCAAATTGTGTTTATAGCAATGTCATCATCAGAGACAAAAACTCACATCACCCAGATGCAAAATGGGTGTGAGGGTACCCAGCAAGAGCAATATTCAGAAAAATCAAGCAAATCCGTTATACAACCCTGTCAGTTATTGGCCAAGGTGCGACTTGTCCAAGGCCACACAGTGGTCAGTTAATTCTTTCTGGATAGTAAGAATTGTGTCTTTGGGTTATACTGAAGGGATTATTACTATAATGGTCATTTTATCTCTTTCAGAAGTTTAAGGTGTTTGCTGGGGGAAAAAGCTTATGTCTTTTTCTTTATAGGGTGAAAAAATATAGGCAAAGTAAAAGAACATACTTTATAATTTGCTCGGGTACTTCATAGTCATTATAGTCATATTTTAAGGCTCAAGTACAGAGGGAGGCTGGAATCTCACCATTTTCTCCTCAGAACACCTGGACTGGGCCGAGCTATGGGGCCATTTCTAACCCTGCATTTCTTTGAACTTCTCAGGCCTTCTCTGGTGCATGTCCACACGGATTTTGAAAAATCAGCAGAGTAAAAGTAGCCCCTGAAATAAAGGCGTCATTCAAGGAACAAAGAAGTAGAAGGAGGGCTCCAATTAAAATGATGAAAATCTTTCATTTTTATTTAGGTATACTAGTACGGACATGTGTATATACAAATACAGATCATATGGGGGTTTTATGTGGGGTTACTTACTGATTTATTTTTACATTTTCCTTTAGGTTTGTATAACGTAAGCATTTCAAAACAGCACTGGATGGGTCGGTGCAGAGGAGCTGCGAAGCAGGCGGCACAAGCGCAGGACCACACGGGGCCGGACGTCACACCCAGACGCACACACAATGAGTGGCTTCAATGGGGTGTCAAGAGGAAGCATGGAAAGCGGATTTTGACTCATGGGTAACCTCCAACATGCCAGCATCTATTAAACTGTACAGACAATGGGGGCGAGGCCATTGTAGGGAGATTTGTCTCACATCCGAGTGGCGCAGGGGCCAGCGCATGGGAAAAAGTCAGCGATGCCAAACCAGAGACAGACCTGCCCATTCACGGTTCCGAGGGAAAATGGGACGTGGGAGAAAGGCTAGAGGACAACAGTATAAGCATAAGAAATAAAAGGAGGGTTGTAGGCAAATGGGGTGTTGGTGGAGGTGGTTTTCAAAACACCAGTGACCACAGCTCTGAATGGAGAGCAATGAATGGAGAGAAGGTGTTGAAACTGTTTGTCTATTTGGGAGGAATGATAAAAATGGCTGCTGCCGTTGCTAAGGCACCAGAGAAAAGCAAAGTTCCTTGAGACCCACAGGGACGCTGTGCCTCTTCCTTTCACAGTGACACAGGGACACAGCCCCATTGAACCTCCCTGGAGGGACTCTGCAGCCTCTCCTGTACCCTGGGCTGCGCGGCACTGGTGAGACTCTTCGGGGTGGGGTAGGGGAAGAGATGAAATTGTGTGAAAACCACCACAAACAAAACCAAACCAAATACAGAGCTGTTTCTAAATTCCCTAAACTTTTCCATACCGAAATGCTGGGGTGGAAATACACACACACACACACACACACACACACACACACACACACACACACACCACGGAGCTCCATCAGACCTTGAAAATTTTGAGGCCAAAATAGTGATGAAAAAAGTCATGTTGTCCCAGGTCCCCAGATGGTGGCGGCTTAAGGACCGGGCGTGCGATGACCACGGGGAGTCCTGCGTGGAGCCGCCTCTCTCAGGCAAGTCAGTACGCATTGGGTGTTTGACAGCCTCAAGGCCTGTTTTGTACCCTGAAAGACTATTGTTCTCACTTACAAAAGACATAAGAATCAAATTAATACTTTATTATCAAACACTATATACAACAGAGGTTGCTAATACAGAATTTAAAGAACGCAGTTGTTTTTTTTTGTCTTTTTTGTTTTTGTTTTACTTTTCTTTCCTCTGCCACCCAAGAAAGTACAGTACAAAACAAGAGTCTAAACTAACACAAACTGTTACCTGGCCTATCACAGGATACACGGTATCCACTAAACACAGATCCTCATTTCCCTGCTTCGTGTTGCAAAGCCCTAGGCAACCAGGGGCAAAGGTCGCGAGGGTCCGACTAGCGGGCTGAGAGGCAGCGGAGGCTGCCCTTCAGGCTTTTGAATTTTTTTTTTTAAATGAAAAGCTCCTACAAAGTTGCATCGACATTTTCCTAAGCCCCCAGAGGGTTGTCACGACACCACAAAAGGCCACCAGCACTTTTTGGACGAGATGAAAACTGCCCGATACCAATCATCTTCTTGAAAACTCCGCGGTAGGCATGACCTACAGGTACATCACTTTATAGGTAGAGAAGCACACTGTCTACTGGTGTGGGTGGTCTTGCTACTTTTTTTTTCCTTTTTTTTCTTTTTTAAACTTAATTTGCAGTGGCACAATGGTGAAGGGAAAAGGGGTCTAATTTCACCGTGAGAAATGAAAAGAGAGCGGCAGAGAAGGGCCATGAGTAATTATTTCATCATTTGTTAGAGACAAATGCTAGGAAAACCACAGAAGTCACCATTTCTAAAATGAAATTAGCACTGCTAATGTAGTTATGACTAACTGGCATCATTACAGGATCATTTGATTTCCTTGTGGTTATAGAACATGCAGTATTATGTTGGTTCTGACTATCGATCCATTTTGGAAGGTATCTCTCTCCCTCCTACCCATATCCCACTGGACCAACAAGCCTGTAACTGTTCATAAAAAGAAGTGTCATTGGACATTACTGAGCAGATAAACAGTTGAAGAAAAAAAAAAAAAAAGAATCCAATGCTGTGAACTTTTGTTGCAGCGAAATGGTGGCTGCCTCTGTGACAAGACTCGGCCATGCCACTCCCGAGAGGGCCCTGACATCTGGGAGGGACAGGACCGATCCTATCTGCGAGGCGGACAGCCTCGCTCACCGGTTTCCAGGGCTCATCGACCTAGCAACATCCCCCCGAAGAAGATCAGGTAAGCCCACATTCCATGTCAACACGTGCACAGCTCCCGGCGAGCAGCGCCGTTAGCGCTGCCTTCCCGCACATACTTCTCTAACTCGGAACTCCTCCTGATGCTTACCGAGTTCCCATTCACGAAATCTTTTTCTCTATTTTTAACACATACATTTTTAAAAATCACTTATTTTGCTGGAATTCTTCCAGTTGTTCACATCTCACATGTCCATCACATATATGTTTTGTTTTGTTTTCGAAAGGCATGTTTTCTGTTGGTGTGTCGTGCAATAGCAGAAAAGGCAAGGTTTCTTTCCCCTCAGTCTGCTGCTCTTCTCTGTCTGGGCTTCCCGGTTCAGAGTCTGTGCCGGCCTCACCAGTGGGAACCCCCAAGGCGTGCGCTTCCTGGTAGCTAACAGGAAACGTCCCTTGCTGGCCAAGCTGTGATCCCTTCCACAGACAGGATCATCCTGCACCGATTCCTCCTTCCGCCCCACCCCCACAAGGAAACAAGATAGCCTCCATATTTCTAAAAGAATCAAGGGATACCACTTTTTTTTTTTTCTCTCACAAGTTTAAATAGGACAAGCATATACACTCTCAGCATAAAGTATATCTAAATAATGTATTTTCTATTCTAGTGGATTTTTAAAAAAATATTTTGTTAAAGTCTTTGGGACTCCACCTTGTTTATCTCCCACGGATAAACACACGTTCCCCCTACGCTTTCAGGCTGTGTCAGAAAGGGAAAGAATTATAAAATCAACACTTGAGTTTCTTCTTTTTTATTATTCCACACTTTGGAATTCTTATTCCCAATTTCCCTTTAGCCCTCCCAGGTCGTGCTGACTGACTCTCAGGTGCCAGGGGCGTGTGTCCGAGCCCCGTGGTCACCAAGGGTGGAGCAGAACGGGGGGCGCTAGGGCGGGAGTCGGGGAAAGGCCACGGCACAGCTGGCGCTCCAGCAAAGCCAAACCACCGCTCCTCCGGCCACGGACACGCGTTCCTGGGTACGCAGTGTGGCCCCAGAGGAGGATTCAAAGCTATTCCGTGATGCACTCAGCAACCCTGGCTTGTCAGCCTTGGGGAAGGTCACTTTAGTCATAAAAATGCCTCTTTGAATTTCCTTTAAAAACAAAAATAGTTGTAGCACCATGGTGATCTGTAGTCAGAGGGAAAAATAATCCGGTGTATACCGCCCAGTCACCGAAAAAATTAGAGGCACTCATACATACACACCCCCACCGAACCTGTTTCCTCGGATGTCACTCGCACTTGCTCTGTGCTAGCATTCCCACTCCCTACCCGCCGCCTAGGGGAGGAAAAAAAAAAAAATTTATTTTTATGGAGCACACATTTTGCTGTCAAGTCATCTAAAAAAAAGTGTCTCAACCTTTTAGAAGCCTGTTCATTTACACACCCTAGAGGAAATAGTGTAATATTATATCTGTCCTTAATACCTCCCCTCTGGACTTGACATGACGGCCTGCACGGTTCTCTTCCAGTCCCGGATGAAAAGGCATAAATATTGGATGGGAGGGGAGAGCCCTCCTGGGCCTCGCCATCCCTGGCTGCATCTGCCACTCTTCTTCCTCGTCCACAGGCTGCTGACACGGGGCACTGAAGAAGGGGCGCGCTTACGGGAGCTGCGGACCACCGGTGTCACTACGACAATTTGGCATTTTCATCTGGAGTCCGTTTAATTTGGAAGGGGTGAGAAACGTCAAGGGCAAGGGCTGGGGTGGGGGGTGAGGGAGGCGGCGGCAGCTATGTTAGGCCCCCCCCCCCGACAGGCCCCGGGTTGTTGCTTAGAATTCAGGCTGAAAAAAAGAAAACAAACAAAAAAAATCTGACATCTGCCAAAGCAACCAATCACAAGTCCCTTCTTAGGATGAGCAGTTAGGTGGATCTCTGGTGTTCCAAGACCCCGGCGTTCTCTGTGACAGGCGACGGCAGGAGGCTGTGCTATAATGTCAAAAGCATCGCCAGGAGGAACAGTAGGATTGCCAAGAGGCGGCTGGGTATCCTGGGCGTCTGTGCCGCATTCTCGCCACGGGATGGCTCGGCAGACTCGTGTACGGTGTCATCTGTTCGAACAGAAAGCACACGTTCCGGTGAGATCGCACATCCCTCGCAGCAGCCTGCTGTTCAGACCTTGCCCCCCTCTGCAACGTAAGGTAATGAACCTTGCGCCACCCTTGACTTCCACGTCTGCGTAATCACTCATTATTTACAGCAAACACAGGAGAAGCAGAGGAAATTGGGCTTTCTCAGCGATATTAAGTTTCCTTAAAAATTGAGGGGGTCGGGGAGGTTATGCACACACTGTAGGTAACCTCTGGCACGTGAGCGCCTCCGGTGAGCCGGCAGTCAGACACACCTTGCACAAACCTGAGATATCGGAATGGATTTTTTTAAACCCTACGTGCCACGGAGAAGCAAGTAGTGTGTCCAGGGTGAGGGGCAGGTATGTTGGCCTATTAGTGGCTGAACCGGAATGTGCTACCCATTTCCCTCGTTTTTAAGCAGTTGCCTAGGATGAGTGTTGAATGCCTGGTTGTTGGAAGCCTAGATGAATTTTCAAATACGAATAATCAAATGCCAAAACAACAGCATTTAAAAATAAACCATACCTAATGTCCGCTAAACCTGACCACACCAGTGCCCACTGGTTGGCTTACAATTAGGCACCAATTATGGTGCTATTTCCATTACAAACCCGGGAGGGCCTAGGATTAAATTACTTGAACTTAACCATTTTTGCTTTTATCAGGCTGAAGCGTGGCACCCAAAAATGATCGGCATGGATGCAAATGCTCCTGTACTCACAATGGATTAAGTGAGGTAAGCTCCCTTTATTTAGCTAGAAAGTGTTCTCTGAGGCTGCCTCTGACTTCCCAGAGACTTCCTGATCTGCATGATTAACAGGCTTAACGTTGAAACAGGAACTTTGCAGTAATTAGGACCCAAAGATAGACTGGGGGCTTTGTACACCTCCTTCCTTCCACTGGCCTAACTTAGGCTTTTAGACTATGTGTCCTTGGGACTGACAGTGGGGCTCTGTGGTGGCTTTTATTTTAGCACCAACACACCCTTCCTGTGGAAGCTCAGGCATTGTCACCCTGGCTTCTCTCCCCAGTGGTTGCTCTCAATTTTGCAGACCTGAGAGGATAACCCCTAATGGCCCAAAGCCCTTCACATACATTTTCATGCCACAGGACATGCCTCAATAAGGATGCTGGTCCTTCACTGGGTAGAGGCACACTCCCTTATTATTTGTCCTAAAGGGACCCCTTTGCAAGCACCTGCTTCCGATATGTCAGTGGGGGCATATCTGTTCCTCACGTTCATTCCCAATATGAACTAAGAAGCATGTTTTCTCAGCTGTGCGTCTTCTGCCCTGGAGGGCTCTTAGGTTAGCCAGGTGGTCGGCAAACTCATTAGTTAACCGAGCCAAATATCAACAGTACATCAATTGAAATTTCTTTTGAGAGCCAATTTTTTTTATCTTAAACTTCTTCTAAAGCCACTTCTTCAAAATAGACTCGCCCAGGCCGTGGTATTTTGTGGAAGAGCCACACTCAGGGGGCCAAAGGGCCTCATGTGGCTGGCGAGCCACAGTTTGCCGACCACGGGGTTAGCCTGTCCTCGCAGAGTAGCGGCTGCGCCCCTGAGTGGCTCCCCTCTCCTGGCCCTCAGCAGATCTGCAGAGAGTGGCTGTTCGCTCGGGAGACGAGAAAAGGTTAGGAAGCGAGAATGGGAAGTTAAATGGAGGCAGAGGAAAATATAAAGCCCCACAGCTTTTAGCCTCTACGTGGGGACTCTTCTCTCTCAGCTTTGCGAAGGTATTCCATCTGTAGCTAACAGGAGGTAGATGTAAATACTCTTAATAGCCCTGAAATTAAAATTCAAACCATTTAAGTGCACCAATATGGTGTCAATCAGAATAGAGTACTGCAGGTTTAATTGTGAAAATAACCTCTAAACCCTGAGGATGGAGTGCTTTTTATACACCTGAAGTTACACCAGCTATGGGGTTCTTCTTCTCCCCCTTATTTTTACTAAGCTATTACCATACCCAAGTCACACTTAGGTCCTCCGTGTGAGCTTAAAGGGGACCAGCCCTGCCTGTCTGTTCAGGCTGCTCAGCGAGGGCCGTCCATTGCTCCGGCCCGCAGCACAAGGCAGGGTGAGTGAGTCTGCAGGACTCAGAGGAAAGCACTTGTTTTTTCTAAAGTGAGGCAGAGGCTCCTAGTGCTTTTCAGTCCCGTGGGCAGTTACCCTCTTGCTCTCACAGGGAAAGTCTGTGCCTTTGGGCATCACGGTTCTCCCTGCAACAGGCTGGTCCTGGCTAGGGAGTCTACAAAGCACGCTTCGGTTAAACCGGGGCCTCGCTGTTGGGAGAGCCCGTGGCGCCCGAGCAGCAGAAAGAGAAACCTGCTGCCATGTGGGGCAATCAGAACAATTTTAGAATCCCACGAGGGAATTCATAAGCACAAGCTCCCTCAATGGCAACGACCCTCAGAGAAAACATGAGTTTCTAACACTCGCAACAACGCCTGCGGCATGGAGGAAGAAAACATTCCTCTTCAGCAGCCGAGTCTTGCTTCCCGAATAGGATTTCACCACACGAGGACACCCAGTTAACCTAGCGATAATTTGGAGCGTATTATGTGGCACATGTCTGCCCTGAGATCATTCTGCATCCCTGATGATAGGAAACTGGCAGGCAGAGTGTGCAAGCAAACATCAAACACAACACATTCCGGAGACAGGTGAATTAGTACATGTTGCTGAGAGCATGCAGTGGGGTCCTTCCAGGCCTGACGGACTCAGAGTCTGGGCCTACCCTCAGCCCTTCAGCACCGTGCTGCCAGGCTGCAAGTCCGACTGAATTTTCTAAGGAACAAGGAGAAGTGCTCAAACTATGGTTTATACAGCCAGGGATGGTAGGGCAACTTCCTCTTACTTTTTCTGTGAAGATGCTCACCAGAAGCCCCAAGCACAGCCATGGCTAACGCAGGAGCTTTTCCGGCAGGTACAACTCCCCTCCCACTCTCTCCCTGACTCCGTTCTGCAGCTCCCATCAGCTATGTGTGCACTGAGTAGGGGGCAATCACGAGTTTTTAAATGCTCAGTGGAAAAGAGCCTGCTTCCTAAAAGACAGGGAAACATGCTCACGTATGAGCACATCCCAGTATGTTGCCTTTTCCTGTGGCCTCTTCAGAGGCGGAGAAAAACATACTCTCTGTTGTATTTCTAAACAGCCTCTAACTTTCTTGCTAGGCAATGGAATTTACCTGGAAAAAGAATATTGGAAAGATAAGTCTACATTCGCTAACAGCATGCATCGGGAAATCATCATCCAGGGTAAGTTACGTTGATAACATGCCTAACTTTGCCAGACATTCTATGCATGACATTAGCAAAGCCAGGAGAGGGTCCTACTCTTTTGAGAAAAGCCTGGATCTGTCTCTTAACTACGTGACCTGGGCAAGTCTCAGTTATGAAAGGAAGAGTGTAACTAGGGTCCTTCCAGGGGATCCCATACAACTCACTGATCCTACCATGACCTGGGTCCTCCAGCTTGTGAGGTGTCTGGTGCCTTGAAAAGCCACAGAGATGCTTCCAGATTTCCAGGACACAATTAAAACGTCTCCCCTTATTCCTTGCAACTTTTCTAAAGTGGCTAACCGATCCCTAGGGAGCCACGAGGGCCTCTGAGAGCTTATTGTGCACACCTCTCATTTGTGCTCTGCGTAAGACGCCTGCCTTAGAAAAACAAGAATGCTTGGGGGAAAAACCTAACTCCGCCTGTCAGTTACAATGTGAAAGCTATTGTATGTCCTGAGGCACCACATTTACTCAGGCTAAGTTTCCCTAAGGCTCATTGACTGCATGTCCCAGTAATAATGCTCAAAGGATAATTTCTAGGACAATAAGAAAGAAGTCCTACTGCAAATAGACAAAAGAAAGTATCTCTTTACAAAAGTGGGGGGTGGAACTCACATCTTTCTGTGTAGAGGAAATAACTTTATTTCCCTTAAGCTGTGAGGTCATTACAGCAGACCAGAGGAAGGCGAGCATATGGGACACTGAGGCACACGCCTCACAATCAGTCTAGATGTGCATTAAATAGCCCGATTGAATTTATAACCAGATGAACATTTTACATTATCTCCAGTAAAATTGCTTCGATGGGTGTTTTTGTGGGTATTTCTTTTTCTGCAATGATGGGAAAGTTTGGGTGCGTAGAAGTTAGTAATAGAGGAAAAATAGATTTAGATTTATTGTCTCATTAATCAAGGACCACATTTGGCTCGCTAGACAAATACATTTGTGGTATTAGGATGCAACATGATTATACTTCTCCAAATCCCTGACTATTAACAATCGCACAAATAATACTTGAAATCTAAAGTTCTTTTGATCACTTTAGTAGTGCATGTGAATTTCCAGAGAAAACTAAGGTATATTGAATTAGTTACTACGAATTTTATATGCAGATTTGGATGTAATGTATAAGAAAATTTGATAAGCATGTACAATAGAAATGCTTTTGTCTTACGTAAAAACAGATCCATTAATATTCAGGGTGACTCACCAGCATGCTCGGAGGAGATGGTAAAAAGTAGTGAGGTTTTAGCATTCTGATGGGGCTCTATGTTAGGATACCGTGTTATAGCAAACCCATGTCCAAAAAAAAAAAAAAAAAAAGAAAGGTCATTTTTATCTACCATGCACTACACAGAGATAGTGGAGGGATGAAGTAGAATATAAGTAATATTAGCATTGCTAGCAATGAGCAAAAAGCAGAGCAACTCTAACATGCAAACATGCAGAGAGGAAGAAAGGAAAAAAAAAGTACTGAAGCACCAGAGAGATGCATTGGTTAAAAGAGATTCTCTAAGCATACTAACCTGCTGGTTCTAATGAATTTTCTACTTTGTCGTTAACATCGAAAACACGATCATGAACACCTATAGTTTTCATACAGCTATCTATAACAAAAATAGAGATAACAGCCAAATATGTTAGTGCAGACACCCTTAAACTCCCGTTTCTTTCTTTCTCTCTAATTTTGTTTCCTTTTATTTATGCAGATTGTTTTACAATCAACGGCATGTATCAAGATGCCAATATTGTTCCCATTTGCTGTGCACATACAACAGTCTAAGAAACAACAAGTTAGCAACTGCTATGTACTTAAAAAATAAAAGCATCATGAAGAATGATGAGAAAAAATCTGATGAAAACTAAAACATGAATGTTGATATACAAAACAGATACCACACAGGATTTAACAGTAAAAAAAGTGTTACCGCTGTGAACCAGACCACACAATCAAGCATGCGCAGTGAAGCCGCCCTCTGAAGCTCATTCGAGGGAACTTACTTGTTGGTCTCACAAAGACTTTGAGCTTTAGACAGGACCTTCTTCCATTGTCTGGGATGGCAGAGGCTGCGGACAAGACAGGAAGAAAGAGGACAACAGATGATTACTCTTTATTTTCAAATAAATCTAATTCTTTCCCAAATAAACGGAGCAAACTCTTAATTCTTCCCAGAAGTTAAAACAAAAATACTTTACAGATTGGCACAGAGTCTTACAGAAGGAGCTACTTTCCTACCCCTGTGTTCTCTTCTCAACATGATGAAGAATCACGCAAGAATGTTGGTAATCTACAGAAAATGCTTTGGATTTTTATTTCAAAGGCTCTTCCATTTAACTTGATCTGTTATCAATTTTCTCTAAAATAAGAAGATAATGTTTGAGTCCTCCTGCTTTCACAGAGCTCCGCCTCCCCCTCCCACCTCCCCTGCAGGATCAGGGCCCAGCAGAGCCCACGGTGAAAGTGCTGGCACAAACCAACCACAGATAGTTACTGAGGGCAACTGAACCACAACCTGCCTCTGCTGCGGAAAGCAAAGCTTTGTCTGTCCTGAAAGCCGGTCTGTCAGTGCTTTGCAGGTAATTCAATTAGGGGGTCTGCTCAGAGCTTGGCTCCGAGTCCTCTATGACTAAGCCTAGCCCAGCCACTTCCATCACGCCATGATAAGTACAATATGCTATTGAGACTGGCACGTTTATTTTAAAAAGTGTGCCACAGAGAAGGATGGAATTAATAAAGTGGGCTTACTGAAACATGACAACATGTTTCAGGTTATAAGTCACTGGAGGAAGAAACTTTCCTCCTCTCGACAATAAGACCGTAACCTCTCCCTGCGTTTGAAAGATTATCTCCTCTCAGCATGCACGGCGTAATGTCAAAGGGATCTATCTCCGAGGGCGGGAAGACCGGAACCATCACATGTGTTTACTGTGCATTCTAGAAATGACAGAAATTACAGAAATGAGCGCTGCATACTTTCCTCCCTGTGCGCTTGCTTCAAGTGGTTTCTTTGTTCAGAGCAGATGACATCAATCAAAGCACACATGGCTAACAATCCGTCTGGCGATGCCCTCAGTGACAGAGACGGCTGGTGTGGGGTGTGCCTTCTGCCTCCTTGATTTTTACCCTTTGCTATGCTTCCTCGGGGGGGGGGGGGGGGGGGGTTAGTTTCAAGCAACTCAGCCCAGAAAATGAAAATGTTTATGTTGAAGGTGAGAGGATTTAAGATGCAAAATTTCAAACTAATTTTACACGAACCTCTTCCTGTAATTTCAGATCCCCATCCTAGAGGAGAACTTACAAAATCACTACCTAACAAACATCAAGCTGCAAAGAATCCGAGCATCGCTCTTTGATACCTGCAGAAAACTCTTAATTCTAAGACAAAGGTAAAAAATAAAATGTTTTCGGCCCTTCCCATCTCCCACATTTGTTCCCTCTGACAAGCAGTTAAGAAGTGTTAACAGCTGGCTTTGCTGTAGGCTTTCATTAAATCAAAGTCGGAAAAACTCCCTCTACTGACATTTACAGTAACTAGTGTGTTATTTAGGGCACAATATTTGCTCTCTGTGGTTTGATCCAGGAAATGGTGTCCTTCCTGTGGACCCCAGATGCAAATGTGCATCACAAATACAGTCTCCATAGGTGACCCCAGTTCATCAGGAAAACCGTGACTTCTTGAGACTGTTGATGTGAAAAAGTGACACCAGGACGCTAAGCTGCGGCTGTATGGATTTGTTTAGTGGGGGGAGCGTCTTGGAATTAATTAGTACAGGTCTTTCAGATTTAGATGTAGGAGAAATCCTATAAATGCAAGACAAAAAAAAAAAATCACTAATAATTAAACAGCCACCAAGGATAAGCTGTCCAGGAAAAAAACTGGAGAGCTCTTCCAGCAGCTCTCAAAGAGGGTCAATTAGCCTTAGTGACAGGAGGAGTTACATTGGTCTGTAAATTAAGAATGTAAAATGCACTTCTATTTAATACAAAATAAAACCTCTTTCCCACCAAACTTCTCCATTAGTTCCTCATTGTTAATAGTGAATAATTACCAATATATATTACTGCAGCTCCATCCATCCATCCAAATGCTTTTAAAATCCCTATTATGTGCTAGTTTCCCTATCAGGTGCTGTGGAAGCAAAGGTATGTAAGACAAAACTCCCTATCCTTGCGCTGCGCTTATTCCATCTGGGGCCATAGATATGAACCACAGCGTAGGTACCAGGCAGGATCCCTGTAGTAACTGAGGCTTGCATGTACTGCCAGCATGGCTTTGGGCAGGGAGTTAGCTTTGTCTGGGAAGATGAGGGTGTCCCAGACATGTGCGTCAGAGGGAAACTCATCAAGGCTTCACAGATCCCCCGGAAGCTGACCAATGGCCACTGAATTGTCCCCAGGTTCCCAAATGGAAGGTTTAGCAACCAAGATGAGGTATTGAAAGGTGAAGAAAACCTAGGCCTGAACTATCCCTATAAAGATACACGGACAGTTCTAATGGAATTTGCCAAATTAAAAAGAAGTTCAACTCACGTCTTACACATTTGTCGCATAATCCCAAGCCCTATCAAGTACTCAGTTTACTGCCAAAAATGTACACTAGGAGTCAGGAAGCTGATTATAGGGGGATGGGGACCATTAAACAAGCACCACCTCCCACTCCATGATCTTAATGGCAACTGTCTAATAAACCACTGGGCCCCTTCCCCCTGGTGACCTGCAGGGTACCACTGAAAACCTTACAGCACACAGTGAAACAGGACCTGGGCCCTCTGTATCCACAGCATCGTGGTAATAAGGCATGAGGGCTGCTTATCTTCACTCTTTCCCGTGACCTCAGCCAGGGGCTCTGTGTTCAGCCTTTCCTGCAAACCTGTCTCCTGGGGCTCAGGTGAGTACTGCTCAGCACTTACCAGCCAATTTGACACATAAAAGGATCATACTCAATACCCTCCAATCAGTACTCCCAAAAGCTGCATTTAGTACTGCACATGTATGGGATATTCACGTCCCAATTCACTAGGCCTCTGCATCTGATGCCGAGAGAATATGGGCATCGAGCTTGGGGTCAGCAGCTTCTGGCCGCCATGACCCCCACCTCCTTTTATGTCACTGCTGAGTACTCACCTCCCCCGAGAGTTGGCTGGATCTAGTTTCTTGCCTTTTTAATGAGCAGTACACAGCAAAAAATAATGGGATATCACTTCTGTGATTATGTTGCAAAGAACTGTGACTCACACACTTTCTCACTCTCTCTCGTACTCAGGAAACAACGTGACATAATGTGAGATTCTTGATGGAGCAGCCCACACGGCAATAAATGGATGTTTTAGTGCAACAACCCACAAGGAACCGAGTCCAATCTCAGCCAATCTCGTGAGTGCGCTGGAATGAGGGGTCCTTAGCTGAGCGGTGAGCCGACTTGCCTGTGAGAGACACAGACCCAGAGTACCCAGCTAAATTGCTCCTGGATTTCTCACCCACAGAAAACTGAAAAAAGTAAACAACGTTAGCTTAGCCACAAATTGTGGAGTAACATGTTTCTCAACAGCTAACTGATTCCAGGCAATCAGAGGCTTCCTACGGCTGCCTTGCGACCTAAGGACGAAGACACCGGTGTGCGCTCTGCTCCAGGCCCGCCTGCCCCTCGCTCAGAGAGCAGGTTCCACCTCGCGTTGCTGCCTTGTCTAAACAACTTCTCCAGCTCCGGGTACAAGTTCCCTTAAAACAGGCCTCGGAGGGTGGTAATTATAAACTGCTGTTGAAGGAACACTGCAAGATCTATCTATTTGTTTTCCCTCCAGCATTTAAAAACTGTTTTTCATTTTCCATCCCATGCCACTTAGTTTGTTTTTGCTAATGTAGCCAACCTGTGTTGTTCCTTACAATTAACATGATGTCTCACGTTAAATCCAAATTGCTGGGTAAACCTACATGATCTTTGATACAAAATGTAAACGTAAATCATAAGGAGAAGGCTTCCCCTCAAACACGAGAAATATGATAGAATGTAAAGGTAGGCTTAAAAATACCTGAAATAAAGTTAAAAGTTCTCTTCATAAATCAAAAAATTCCTATCCGTTATCTTTTAAACAGGCTATCAAATTAATACAAACAGACGAGATTTCAAGCAACTCAAAAATAATCAAGGTAACAACCTTTTCCAACACCGACCGGAAGTTTAGCAAGAGAGGGGTGAGACTCTCATACATTCTTACATGTTTAGGCCCAATACTGTACTCATTAGTCAACTTTAACATCTCTGCCTAACCTTATCATCCTCAAGTCTTAATTCCAAACCCTGCTCCTTTCCTGTGTCCCTTGACATGCTGGGTACTTTGAGAAGTTTTATTTTTAAGAACAGTCAGCTACTCCTCCTCCTCCTGCTTATGTGCAGAAGCATTAAAAATGCAGTTTTCCATTATGTTTGCCGCAGGCTATATTTCTCAATTTGTGCAAGTCAAAGGAAACGATAGGCTATTAGTTGTTAGCACAGCCCAGTTTTTCCTCTGTAGGTTTTCATGTGGTTTAACATACAACACAGATATGTGCAAATTAGGTGATATGATTAAGCATTTATATTCCTTTCATAGTAAATACTGAAAAAGTTAAGCCGATGCAAATACAGGGTACTTCTGGAAATGTCATCCAGAATGTTATCCTATATAATAAAAGGCTAATATGCAAGTCGACCGAACAGCAGAACAACCAGTAGCTATGATGCTCACTGACCACCTGGGGGCAGATGCTCAATGCAGGAACTGTTCTCTGGTAGTTAGTGAGCTCAGCCAGAAGCCCGGTCCATGGCTAGCAAGTGTGGTGGCAGTGATGGTGGCAGGAGAGGCTCAACTGCCTACGCTAGTAATTGGATATCCCCCAAGTGTTCTCAGACTGTTAGAGGGTGCAGCCCCCCACCCAAGTGCATGAATTTCATGCACTGGGCCTCAACAAAATCCATTTTGTGTTTGTGGGTAGAGGGTGGGAAATAGGACAGATTAACTGAAGCCAATGAATGGCTTGGAAAATGGTTACCACACCCTCAGAAAAAGTCTTAAATGTTAGGCAAGAA